ATATATATATATATATATATATATATATATATATATATATACACACACACACAGACACAAAAGTTTTACAAACTTACAAGCAATACAAAGTCTTCTTTCTAGTCTGGAACTTTCTTGATGTCTTATCGAGGGTCACGATGAGTGAGTTAATTTCGAGTTGACCTAAGTACAACTCACTTTATATGGCGCTAGCTAGCTCTGTAGTTCTCTCAGATCAGATGCCAATTACAGGTCGAGTTTCTTTTACCGCTGAACTTATATCTTCGTAAAAAGTACTAATGTCCGATGTGAATCCACTGAAATGAAATGGTTTGTAATGTTCGAAATTTATAAATGTTCCTGGTCAAATATCTGAAGTGTTATAACAATCACAGTTATAGCTTCCGAAGTTTAGAGTACACTAACTATAGCAAACCAATAATAGATACTCTTTCTTTGGCGCGTCGCTTTGGTTATATTTATAGGCGTGAGGAGAGTTTCTCGAAATTTCAGGTTTACGTATCAATACTGACGCTAACACTAGCGTTTACGTACACACACATACTGTTAATTCTTACACTCGAGAATCTTCTACAACTTAAGATAATAGGTGGGAGTTTCGCAATACATATTTAACAGTATAAGTTATGTACATTTCTGAATATAAACTTAATTTAAACAAACATCGATATTAAAATGAATATATAATAATAAATCCGTCACAGTGGATTCGAACTTTGCAACATTTTTACCAAATAATCCTAACGAACTCGCCAAACAACAGAACATATTACACCAGTACATTATATTATACGAAACTACAATGTACATCACGTATAATAGTTAAACGAACCATCTAAACATCGCGTTAGTGTAGCCTATATAATTTGTAAAGTTTAGTATATTCTAATACATTATAGTGATGGCACAGGACGAGACACACATTCGGCATGTAATGCTGTTTGAATACAAGAAGGGAAACAACGCCTCTGTAGCCAAAAAGAATATCAAAAAAGTTTATGGAAATGTTTTGAACGTCCGTGTCAACGATGGTTCAACAAATTTCGTTCAGGTGACTTTAGCCTTAAAAACGGTGATGGCACGGGCTGACATGATGGAATTGATATTGATGCTCTGAAGACGCTTGTTGAGTCTAAACCAAGGCAGCACACTCGTGAAATGGCCGTGAAATTGCATGTCTAAGGAATATGGGAAAACTCCATAAAGAAGGTGTTTGAG